TTTTTAATCAATTCACTATAAATGGCTGTATCACTTTTCAAATTGTTTCCACCAAGTATTATCACCTTGTATTGCATTTAAAGAAATTATGTAAGGAAAAATCTCCATGGATGTATATATGTTTCTCGCTTTGAAAAAACAACGATACCTAAAGACGATACCATCAAATTTTGAATAGCATAGAACATCCGAATATGGGCACTTAGAAGCCCGAAACTTGAATTTCTAATTCGTTTTATTATCTATTTCATATTTTTTAAACGCTTACTAATTTTTGATTAAGAATCTCAACAATTTCAAAGCGAGCAGTGGCAACACACTGTACGGAATAAAATATTTGTATCTCCAGCGCGCAAGACTGTCTATCGGAAATCCTAAAGAAATGCTGTTTAAAAATATTTTTAGCCGGAAGGGGCGTTAGTACGAATGCTTTCGAAAGGTATATGTGTGTGTGTAAATGATTAAAACACTCCTTTGGGCGTAATATAAAATCTGAAAGCTTTCAGATTTTTTTTTGTTGTTTTTTTCTTAAATTTTGAACTTTTACTTTATTTATTAAATATCACATTCTTGGCGCTTATGACACATAAAATTCAATTTAACAGCAAAATCACGAAATATTTAAAAACAGCATATCTTTAGAATTTCCGATAGACAGTTTCGCGCGCTGGAAATAAAAATGTTATATTCCGTTCAGTTTTGCCATTGCTCGCTTTGAAATCGTTGAGTTTGTTAATCGGAAATTTGTTCAAGTTTTACAAAATAATAACGATGCAATGTTTAATAATAACAATAAAACTCAGGTGTTATTTGCTAAAAATATTTTTAATAAATGTTAAAGGAGACTGTAGCCAGCTTCTTCAAATTGCTCCGATTTACATCCTTTCCAGCAATCTGAATAGATCATTGATCCATCTTGCAAATGTTGAATTATTTTCTCCATTAATGTACTAGCATCTGTATTCCAGATTTGAACGACAAAACTCATTGCTCCAAAAACATTGCACATTGCGTATCTTCTCGGCGCGTTGCTCAAAAATCCACTGTTGTGGGAGTACTCTGCGTTGATGATATTACTTCGAATGAACAAACTGTCATCGATTTCAAATATTCTATTATGACGCTTGATTCGTTTATTCAACCTTTGCATCAGTTATCGAGAACATTTCCCGCTTGTAACTGTTCCAATAAATTGCAGAATTGTCCCTGTTATTAAGGTGTCACATCATTTGATTGATCTCAGCTCCTCTTCCCAAGAATGCATAAATATAATAGCAGTGACCAACGATATTCTCAAACCACTAAACCGATTTCCAACGCGGAGGCCCTTCGTTTTACAAGTTTTAACACTACACCTTCAAATTGTTTCGTTGTTAACATATAGTTTCCTGTTGTGGCTATTTTAGCACGCTTGTTTGTCAGGTAAAAGACTTCTTTCTTGAAGAAATAATATGGCATCCACCTCTTTATTCGTAAATTAAAAATTGTTGACTGCATAGTCACATAAAAGTAAGAAATATTTTTTTAAATGCGAATTAAAAAATCTTAGCAAAACTGAAACCCGATGCTACTACAAAAACATGTAACGAGATATATTGGTTTATTATCTATTCAATCTTGGGTGCCCGCTATAATAAGGAAGTACCTAAATATTTTGTGATTTTGCTATTGAATCGAATTTTATGTGGCCAACAATATGATACTTAATAAATAAACACACAAAACATTAACAACAAAAAGATTTAAAGAAATTGTTTTACAAGTCATCTTACTAATAAATTTTAATACTGATTTGATGAACTGAGAAAAGACCGGGAAAAAAAAAAAAAAAAAAAAAAAAACCAGAAAAATATGCTAATATTTAACGCTGCATCGGGAATTCTAAACGTATATACTGCTATGCTCCTTTTAAAATTTTTGTAATTTTGCTATTGAATTGTAATTGACGTAAGTGCAAAGAAAATTATGCTTAATAAAAAAGTAAAAACATCCTTTCCCCCGAAAAAGAAGAAAAGGTCAGTAGGAGTGAGTGTAACAGCAGACTGTGGTAGACTACGCTCAGAGAAAGCGTAAAAACCTTAACAAACCCTTTTGGCCAACAGTTAAAAATCTGAAACCTTTCAGATTTTTTTAAATCATATTATTTTATTTATTAGTCCAAAGCGGCTTTGTCTCTGAAGGACTATTGTTTTCGTTTTGCGTCGATTCACTACAAACGACGAATCACTTTTCAAACTGTTGCCACAAAGTATTATCGCCCTGTGTTATATTTAAAGAAATTAAATAATGTAAAATCTGCATAAATGTATGTATATTTCTCGCATTGTGATTAAACAACGGTACATAGAGCTATCGAATTTTGAATGACGTAATCCACCTACGAATCTGGGCATGTAGAAAACCAAATTTGAAATTTGGATTTTGTTTTATGATCGATTTCCTATTTTGTAAAACTTTCGAATTTTTGATTAACAAACTCAAGGATTTCAAAGCGAGCAGTGGCAACATTGTGCAGAAAAAACATTTTTTATCTCCAGCGTGCGACATTCTGTATCATAAATTCTAAAGATATGCTCATTTTAAAACTATTTTGCGATATTGCCTTTGAACTGAGTTTTATGGTTTAAGTGTGAAGAACGTTATATTTAATAAATAAATGCAACACACAAAATGTTAAAATAACGCCCCTTTGGACGTAATTTAAAATCTGAAACATTTCAGATTTTCCCCCCTTTTATTTATTTATTTATTTTTTGTCTTTTTTATTTCTAATCTAAAACTGAATCACAAAATAATATGCAATTTTGAACGGTTTAAAAGCAAATTAGAAAATTACTTTTTCTTTTCATATTGGCCAAACGTATATAGGGGTGCGCATTTACCTCTGCCTCTGAAAAAATATGTAGGTACAGCTGTGGTCATGGTATAAATTAGTACTTAATCCAATGTACTATAGAGAAATACACATAAAATTATTTTAATGATAATTTAGGTCGTATTAAGCAACATTCCTAAGAAAACCGGAAGATCTTACGCATCGTCTGCTGGCTTTTGTTTACAGCGGAAGCAATTGCAGCAGGTTTAAAAGAGGTTTTCTTTCGAGAGGGGGGAAAATGTTTCAAAAGAAAAGGCTTCGAAATATAGTGTTTGCTTTCCATATGTTTATTATAGTAAATATTTTAGATCCATTTTAATTTTTGTACCCTAGAATCGCTAAGTTGCTTCAAGGAAACGAAAAGGAAGAGACGCTTTTGCCCTGAAAACGCTGCTTCAGGTTTAGGCATATCCCTTTACTTGGCTTTTCCGTGCGACTGATCTACGTTCTCCGCTGGATGAGTAACCAGATTTTTGCACGTGAGCTGCTCAGAACAGTGGGGCCACGATTTTTCAAGGACTTATTCTTGGCATCAGTCTCGGAGACCGTGCTTTTTCTCATCAAAGTTCTCTGACTTATCTGCTCTGCATAGTTCTTGCATTGCGGAAATATAGCAAAAATGTGATCAACATGCAAGCAAAAGTGTGCAGAGATTTCACTTTTTAACCTGCCTTTTTTTCTTTCGATTAATATTTTCGATCTTTATTCTTGCAGGAATTCTCTTTCTTTTCTTCATTAATATTACGTGATTTCAGTCTCTTGCTTCATCTTTCTCATCCCTTACAACTTTGTTCGTTTGCGAGTAAGATTTAGGTAACTATTCCTAAACTGCAATCCGCATTTTAAAAATCAAAATATATACTATAATTCGAAATGCACAGTACTGTACAAAATGTATAATGCAGATTCACAGTACTCTTTAATATAGAGTCAGTGTTTAATATAAATCGAAATTTCTTTTAAAATTTGGTTTTGAACTTCCCAATCAAAATTAATGATAGCAAATTTATCCATCTGTCTTCTACAAATACTTTCTGTCTCTCGAAAATACTAGATAAATATATAAGTAAATAAATTTTAACTAAAAAAAGTGTACAAGTATGGAAATGTGTAAAATAATTACATTCTGATTTGGTTATTTCAAATGGCGGTAGTTGTACTGTAAGAATTATATGTAGAAGAATAGGCTTATTTACTTCTAGGTTAGAAAAAGATCTGTTTATAAAATTTAACCATTTTCATGTAAATTTTCAAGTATGTTATCTAATAAAAGACAGAGATGCGGGGGATAATTTAATTCCTGTATGTTAACTTTAAGTTAGAAGGGGAAAATTTTGGATTTGATTTTTCTAGATTGTATATTTAAACTAAGAATTTTTATATATTTATTTATTTATTTTTGGAAGGAAAAATATTTACTCGTATTTAAATACAATACAGGAACAGCAGAGTTTCCAAATTCTGTGAAATGAATTTTGTTCGAATATAAACTAACAGAAAAACATAAAAATATTTCCCCTTTTCCTTAAAAGAAATACCCACCATTTTAATAAAAGCGAGACATTAAAATAAATTGATGAAAGAGGAAAAGTAGGCAACTACCCATTGTGCAAAACTGAATTTAAAGAACATCATTATAAATATGTAAAATTTAGCTCTTGGTTCTTTTTTATTTTCCATATTCAGAGATATTTTACATTTTCTGGTTAAAGCGATCCTCAGGTTCCAGTTTAATTTTTTACGTTCAAACGAATTAATATTTTAATTAAATTTTATTGACCCAGTAATCAAAATTATAAGTGTAAATTACTATGCACATTCTAAGAAAGTATAAAAACTGTGTTTGGGGATTGAAATCTTCCTAAAATCTTATATAGTAGATTTTAAGTATTATTTATTTTAAATACTTTTAACATTATTTAGTTATTATTTAATACTAAATTCATTATTTTTAAATATATATATTATACAGTATGAAGTCATAAAATATTTAATACAAAGAATTTGTATCATAAAAGGAAATAATATAACTGAAATAATGTAACGAAAAAATAAAGAACCAATATCTCAGAACGGCAAGAAGATAAGAAAATGATATAGTTGATTATTGAACTACAATAATCCCGGTAATTTAAAGACATCTTTATACATGCATGGGATATACATTCAGCGGCGAAAATACTTCTTGCCTGTGGCGGTTCCGGTTAGCGCCATCTGTTCGAACATTAATTTTTTTTTTTTTTTTTTTCATTCTACATCTGCTTCATTTTTGTAATGTCTAGTGAGCACTTCTCCAGGTCTGTAGAAGTGACATTATCTCTCCTCTGAGCACAGGAGTAGAAAACGCCGTAGTGGCGCGAAGCTTGTGTGAGAGGACATGGGGAATACAATTGGAAAATGAGGATGAAATGCTACCGTCCCACGTAGAAGGAAATGCGCATGCGCTCACTGAAAATACCTTTTCCCCTCTCTGACGTTCGGTGCTTTTCCAGCAAGTCTCTTTTCCAGTTTGCCTCCGTGTGCGAGGATCGTTCAAAACCCGTGAAATGTTTCACTCTCGCTTGTGAATAAGAACAATTCAGAAGGATCAGATTTGTCGTCCAAGTGAATTCACACTCAGAATGGTTCGGACCTGAGGATAATGGCAAAAATTTAGCCCATTCCAGGAAAGCGTGGCATGAGCTTACGGTCCATGCCATAAAGATTAATATATCTCCGTTATAGTTTTGGAAAACCTTAGAAAACTTGTGTGAGTATAATATTTTCTTCTTCGTTTGTAATGTGATTAAATTAGCAGAACAACCAGAGACTGTGTATATCTTTTTCTCACTGAGATATGGATACTATATGGGGGGGGAGAGGGTGACAGTATGATGCAATCATCAATCTATCTTTCTGTTCATCAGTTCCATACAATATATAAATAATTGAATATAATTAGTTAGTGTTGTGTCGAGTTTTATGCATTGCCACTTTTATTCGTATGCCAGTTACATTTTAAGGTATATTTTTTAATATGATGAACTTTTTTAAGGTACACAAATTATATTAATATGATTTGTAACATACTAAAATTATATCTGTATTTTTTTGTTTGCATTCGCCATTTACTTTTAAATGAATTTTCGGATATTGAGAAATACAAATTATTCATAAATGTTCTTAATGTAAAATGTAGTTAATTAGCTAGAATTAACCTTTTATTCTTTTTTTTATGGTGTTGCATCCTTCATAAACATTATGAAAATCCCTTTTATAGAGAATACTTCAGAAAGTTGTTTGGATACCTGCCTACTCAAAATGACATACATTCGGGGATTTTTCAAAGCTCTGATCAGAAGAAAACCTCTGGAAGTTGATCTAGAAGAAACTAAATTAAATCGTTGCTTGTCAACTTTAGATCTTACTGCACTGGGTAATAGATTTTTAATTTTTAATTTTTTTGCTTAAAAAATTAAAAAAAGAAAACTTGTGTTAGAGAGAAGTTTAATACATGATTTATTTTATTTTAATTTTATGCATTATTTATTAAGGTATTATATATAATTTTGACATAAAATTTTTATTTAAAAGCTACCATTTAAGGAATCATAGGCATACTGTTTTCTTATGACATAATTTCATGTGTAATTATTTTAATTTTAAACATATCTGTGTTTTTCTGATCTTTTCTGGTAGGCATTGGAAGTACTTTAGGTTTAGGAATATATGTACTTGCTGGTCAAGTAGCAAGTGTGAAAGCTGGACCTGCAGTTACAATCTCTTTTTTTATTGCTGCAGTTGCATCTGTCTTTGCAGGTATGTTTCATGAGATCATTCATGATAAGCATCTATAAGATAATTACCATTTGAGGATTGATGAGTATGTTAATTTTTTAATAAATTTAATGCATAAAAAAGTGTGGTGCATAAAAATATAATATATACAAATACCTCTTTATCTTTACAGCTTTGTGTATATATGTATTTATAATATAAAAGAAATATATTTTAATAATGTTCTTGCTGCTTGTAAAATAGCAAAATAGATTGAGAATTTTTTTTTTCCAAATTTGATGCTTTTATTGATGGAAAATTAAGAGACTTTATAGTAATTTCAGAAAACAAACAAGCTGCATAAACATGTGAATAGTTTTCCTGATGTGTTACATGAATCTGAGCCACTTGCATTCAGAAAGTTCTCCACAAAGGCAGATAGTCCTCATTTATCTTTACCTTGATCAAGTAACCAACCCAATGTATAACATAAGAATTGCTGTAGAAATCTACAGCATACCAAATAAAAGTATTGACGATAAGCTGATGCCAGATATGGAAAGATATTTCATTTTATGTTCTTAAAAAAAAAAAAAAAAAAAAAAAAAAAAAGATTAAATTCTGTTCTTAAAATTTCTGTTTCAGAAAACAATGTTTATTATTTTTAGGTTTATGCTTCATGTGTCCTGTGAAAGGTAAAGAACACAAAACAAACAAGAACTCTGGAATTATTTTATTTATTCAGAGAAATCTGGATCTGCTTTAAATATACTTGTTTTGGCACAAAAATATTAAATTTGTAAATGTAATTTTTTTTAATTCTATTGTTTCCAAATGTTACATGTTATTAATGCGTAATTTATTTTTCAAATAAAAGTTTGCAAGTATGTGTAATGTTACTCTATTTTTCTAGGATTATGCTATGCTGAATTTGGAGCAAGAGTACCCCGTGCTGGTTCAGCTTATGTTTATAGTTATGTCACAGTTGGTGAACTGATGGCATTTATTATTGGGTGGAATCTCATTCTTGAATATGTTATAGGTAAGATAAATAACAGTTTGTAGACTTTTTATTCTTAATAATAGTATTATGGTATTAATTCACACACACACACAAAAGAAAAAGAAAAAAAAGCCTCTAGTAACTTTTTGAGTATGTATTGGCTTTTTAGAATTTTATTATGTATATCAATCATTCTGGTTTTTTTATTTTAAATTTTTACATTTTATGTATTCTATTAGCTTTGCACTTAAAATTCAGTTTTTTTTTTTTTTTTTTTTTTTTTTTTTTAACATTCTTATAAGAAGGATTGCAGAATTATATTTTTCAAAATATAAATTTAAATTGTTGAAACGTTGGAGAGAAAATTTAAGAAAATTTTTAAGATTATATTAAAATTAAGAAGTAAACCTTTAGATTTTTAATAAATGTATATGAAGCAGTTTCATTGTAAAGATCAACAGATAATTTTTCCAAACACTTTAATGTATATGATAACAGTACTCTTAAGACATTTTAATAGTCTTGATATTTTTTAATATTTTAAATAATACACTTAACTATTTTTAAATATTTCAGTTAAGCTAGAAGAAATTTCTCATAATTCTGTGTTAGTAAAAGATATATTTTTTCTTTCTTATGTAAAATATTATGCTTTAGCTGCATAAATTTTAAAATTGATAAAAAATTATGAATAGTATTCAGAGAATTTGAGCAAATAAGTGGAATGTATATGAAGCATTAAAATATATTCAATATATCTGAAATTATTCATACTAATTTCAGAAATAAGTTTTGATATATTTTATTATGTGCGTTGATTACAAGGCTATGTAATTTTCTAAAATAAGTATATGACTTACTTTTTGTACTTTCTTAAAATAGTTTATGTATTTAAGATGTAAAGCATTTTTCATATTTAAAATTATTGGGAAAGAAATACAGTACTTAAAGGATTGTTTAAAATAAACTTTCTAAATTTCATAAAAAAAAAAAAAAAAAAAAAAATAATTATTTTTCATGTCTAAAGTCTCAGAGAAAAAATAAATCAGTTTTTGAGGGATGGGATGCTTTCAATTCTTGATGTAAATGAAAGTAAACTTAAATTATTGGATTAAAAAATGGTTTAAATTTAAATTTTCCTAAATGTGTGTTATTGCAGTCATTCCCCCAATCTAAAAAGCTTCTGTCTATCAAAAATTGAATTGTTAATTGGTGATTGATAGATAATACAACAAACGCAGTATTTCCTTTTGTGAAAGTTACTTTGGTACTATTCCATTTTGAGGACTGTAAAAAAATTGCAGCGAAAATGTATGCGCAAAAGCACCAAATCTAGCAAACGCACCCCTTTAACAGCACGCCAAATCTAGCGTATGCGCTGTTTCAAATTGCGTAAGTTTAGATAGTTCTATATTTCTTAAGATGCCATTGAAATACTAGTTTAATTTTAAAATCCTTTTTTGATTTTAAATTCTTTTTTGATATCTTATGGATTTAACGCTTTGGGAATTGCCTATGATGAAAAGTCTGCAATAGAATTTTTTCAAAGAAAAGGCATTATTCATGATAAAAAATTATGTTTGAACAACCAACGAGATGAAATTATGCTTTAGCGATAACTCTGTAGCGAAATAGCGATGCAGAAATCCGTCCAGTTATGTTTAACCTTTTTTTTATGTAAATTATAATAATGATCTGAAATAGTTATTTACTCTTATGCTTCCATTCAGTTATGTTTAGCCTTTTTTTATATAAATTATAATAATAAAAAAATATGTTGAATTAACCTTTCATCTAAATTAAAACAATAATCTTATATAGTTATTTACTATTAGACTTCCTTTCTTGCGTTAGGGTTGCTGCAATTATTTTTGGCAGCACTGGCATCAACAATAGTTTGCCAATTTTTTGTGGTCCTCAAAATGGAATAGTATCCTTACCTTTTATTTTAACAATTACCTTGCCAATTTTTTGTGGTCCTCAAAACGGAATAGTATCGTTACTTTTTATTTTAACAATTACCTTGAATTTTGCTTCTATTATACTTCTTTCTCATAAAAAAGTTTTGAAAACTTTTAAATTTGTTTTTCTGAAATTTTTATCAAATTCCTGAAGTAAAGACAAAGATTTCTACAGAAGCATTTAAGGGATTTTTTCATGTATCATATTTATGTTTATTCCTATCCTATGCAGCAGAAGATAAGTATTAAGTCATATATTATTTTTTTTTTTTTCTTTTCTGATGTATTGTAAAGTTGAATTTAAAATTAAACAACAACAAAACTCTCTTGAAAAAGAGGGACCTAGATCAAATTGCCTTTGATATCAATACAGCTTAATTTAAAATTTGCGGCAACTTAAAATTGCTTCTTTGCCTTGTTTTTAACCTTATGCTGGTACGTTTTTCTCCTATTTAATGGTAAAAATGGATTTTTAAAACTCTAATTTTCATGATCTATATATACTCTTGGGATAAATTTGAATTTGTTATGGTTTCGTTTATGTAGCAAATTAAAACTGCATAGTTTAAGAGGGGAAAAAATACATAAAAAAATTTTTAGTCATGATTCTACTAATTACATTTCTATCTTTGAATATATGTGCAATGAAATTCATACTTAAGTGGAATTCATTTTATTATACTTCACTTTATTCATTGTATATTGTATTTTTTCATATGCAGAAATAGGCACGTGCTAAGATATCAAAGCTTCAGGCTTTATCTGCCTAAGGGAAGGGATGCCATAGTGGAGGACCTTTCTAAGGAAAACTGGCTTGTATACACATTACACATGGGAAAAACTATGAAAATGCCCAGGCAGCCAGCCCGTTTGCGGGATTTGAGCCTCGGACCAAACTACCAGTGTTCAACAACTTTACCACTCAGTCACTTGTGGGCCCTTTATAATAAAAGGAATATATAAAATGCATTTAAATGATACAGATTAACTATGGCCTGTGAAATGACAAATATTAATGTCAGGCAGCCTGGAACCCAAAAGATCCAGCAGGTTCTTTGATGATTTGGTTGGATTAAGGGAGGATTGGTTGATATTATTTATCTTTGTGTAAAATAAAGACAGAAGAATAATGCCTGTAAACAAACTCCATGAAGAGACTGTAAGCAGAGGAAAGAGATGCTGTAACTAAGTGACATAGGGGAAAAAAGGATGTAAATGAGTTTTTTGAAAATCTGTGTGAAAAATTTTTCATTGGAAATTTTAAAGGCAGAAAGTGCTGAAATTAAAACTGGAATGCCAGTTAGAACTTTAAGTTAGTGGGTGGGTGGGAGGAAAAAAGAGAAGTTAACTAATTTTTTAAAACTTTGCGCATTGAAGTATTTTAATGAAGAGAGTTCAGCTTTTCTTTAATACATTATGGTCAAATTTCATAGTAGCATAGCTTTCTACAAAAAATTAAAGAATTCTTATTAATATTTTAATACTATGTTGTCAATTGATCAGGCAAATTACCATGTTCAATGTATTGTTTATTTTGAATTTAATTAATATCTATTAAGTTATAAAAGTGTGCAATATTATTCCAACAAATTCAGCATATCTCTACTTAAATTTTATGTCATTATATATGCTGTGGCTTCAGGTGCCTATAAAGGACTAGTATATAGCTGGCACAGCATCAGTAATGTTCCTTTAGTATAGTAATAGCATGCTGCAAATTGAAGCCTAAGATGATAAAAATATAAGTGAATCAATGTATGATGCTTTATTGATTGTCCTAGTGATGGCACAGATCCTTTTAGTATTGATTGATACCACTTTGATAGATAGTTCAAGCAACAATGCATTGATATAAAAGTATGTGCTCGAAAAAGAATTCCAGTATAGGTGAACATCAGTTTTTATTCATATGATGACTCGGAAAAGTAAATGATGTTGGATAAGTATAGCTGTTGTTTAAAATTTAGAACCTCTAAAAAACAACCCTATAATTAGATTAAAGCCTGCCAATGCTGAAAATATTGATCGTGTTGAATAGGTTCTGGTGAAGACATTTTTTTCTAATATGGGCAGAAACAAAATAATTCCTCATACATTTCTTTAAAATATATAGGAAAAAGGGAGTGAGGAAGATTTAAATACCGTACAAAATGTATTAACCCCTTAACTGCCGCGGGCGTATATATATGCCTTGCTCAGCCGATGCGCTAACTGCCCCAGGCGTATATATACGTCCTTCCAAACTGCTATCATTTGCTTTGCGCTGCTACACCTAAAATTATTCGCAAAGTTAACGCATCGGCTGCGCATCTGGGGCAGCTAACGCATTGGCTGAGCAAGGCGTATATATACGCCCGCGGCAGTTAAGGGGTTAATGAAGGATATTAGTTTTTTTTTTTTTTTTTTTTTTTTTTTTAATAGGCATCCCATCTTGGAGCTCAGGCTTTCATAGAAAAACTGAAACAACTCCAATGTCATACTATAAATTAAATTATCGGTGGCAAAGAAAACTAAGCAGATATCCATTGCATCATTTTTAAAGTAGAAAATTTTCTTTTTCTTTTAGCATTAGTTTTCAGTGCATCATTTTCATTAAATAAAACATTTTTCAGTAATTTTGCACTGATTATTATTATCTTTGAATGGAATTGCATTTTTTTTATCTTTCTGCTATCCATTTTGTTTTGGAAATCTTGGAAACATAACCATGGCATAAATCAATCATATGTATTTTTAATTAGTATGATTTCTTATGATTTTCTTATGATGATTTATGCCAGATTATAATGTTTAGTAAAAGTGTTGCTTTCTTATTAAAAGAATTAAAATTTTATTTTCTCTTTAATGCCCTTTTAATTATGTATATAGTTTTACTAAAATCAACAGTTTAGTGATAACTTTTCATTTTTCTTTTCAGGAACTGCTTCTGTGGCAAGGGGTTACAGTGGATATATAGATTCTCTTTTTAATGGAACAATGCAGAAACATTTAGAGCAAATAATGCCTATACATATACAGCATGTGTCAGATTATCCAGATTTTTTAGCTTTTGGAATTACAATACTACTTGCAAGTATGGTCGCTTTCTGTATACTAATTTTTATCTCTAATATAACTGATATGTTTTATAAATTATTTTACTCTTCTGTTAAGCAAATATAATTTTTTATTGCAAAGATTCATTCAAGTGTTAATCAATAAGTATCTACTGCAAGGCCAGGGGAGCTGGGAGCTTCGTCTTTGTAGTAACACATAAATTAATTTTTAATTTAAAATTTTATCAGAAATGATATAAAATAATACTTTAATTTTACAGCACAATTTATGCCAAGAATTGCTTCACAGTATTTTCTCTTTTTTCACCTTAGTTAATCTTTTAGGAGGTTTTAAGGCCAAGTATTTGAAATGAATTTCATTCATAATAGAAATGTAAATAATGTAAAAAAGTATTGAAAATGTAATTTTTAAGAGAGTAAATATAAATATAAAACTGTATCACAGATAGTGCAGCCGAAGATAATGCTGCTGTTAAATTTTTAATGTGAACTGTTGTGCTTATATACTATACTGATTGAAAATTTCTCCACAGTTATGTTGGCTGCAGGGGTAAGGGAGTCGTCACGTTTCAACAATGTTTTTACTGCTTTAAATTTGAGTGTTGTCCTGTTTGCCATCATTGCTGGGTCCATAAAAGCTGATTTTCACAACTGGAAACTTACTGAATCAGAGGTATGTTTTGTTGTTTTATAAAATGTTTATTACTTATTATACTTAATTATTAAAAAATTAATATGAATATCTTAATAGTGTGTGCTTTTATTGTATACAAAAAGAACTGACCTTAAAAAAAAAAATCCCTGAAATCTAATGTATTCATAAAGTAATAGAAATGTAAACTGTGTTTGGGGTATTAAACATAACTGATATTGTTTTGAACGTAAATGACAAAAAAGAAATTAATTTAGTTAGAATTTTCTGGAAAAAAGTTGCAAAGTAAATCGTAAATATTTCTAAATTAAAAATTAAAATTATTATGGCTATAAATTAATTACAAAGAATATTACTTCAGGTTCCTAAACATGCTGGCAGTGGAGGTTTCATGCCGTATGGTTTTTCTGGAATGATGTCTGGTGCTGCAACGTGTTTCTATGGATTCATTGGATTTGACTGCATTGCTACAACTGGTAAGAATTCTATTTGCCTACATAATAAATAACTGATGGCTTTAAATGATTGAATCCTAAACCTTAAGTTTTCAAAATACTTTTAACATTTGCTCATCTTTTATTGTGCGCATTCTTTTAACATCTGTGCACTTCATGATCATCATACTAAAATTAACATATGATGATTTAGTTCATTTATTTATAATGCAATACATAGTTCATATTTTTTTCCTTCTGAAATAAAAATAATATAGTATTAATGAGTTTATTCTTATTATATACCAGAATTGTTCGAGTCCCACATGTTCATAGAATGGTAGTTTTCTATATGTTCCAGTTTTCATAAAATGCTAGTTTGTCAAATCACTGAAATAAGTGATTTTTAATAGAGTACAAAGTCTGAGATCTGAACTCTTTGGGACTTCTGTTATTCTGGATTTGGGATTTTTCCAGGTATTAGATCATCAGTTTAAATCTAGTAAGATGACATGATGAAGTAATGAAATATTTATGACCTCAAGAGAATCAAAATTAAAAAAAAAAGCCCAATATTTATTTGCTTTATTAAACATTTCTTTAATGTAAGTTACTTAAGTTGTTTCATTTTTTGTGCTAATACCTTTTTTTTTAATTCTATAGATAGACTAATTGAGTTATAAAGTTCCATTGTTTAAATCATGTAATTGCTGTAGCAAGAAGTTTTACTAAAAACTACTAAACTGTCAATTGAAATTGTTTTGCTCTCGGCAACCTGTCTGACACTCTCTTCACTATTGGTAGCAATATTATTGATGATACATTACAAGATTGGCAATTAAAGACATGTTGTTCTGCTAAATTTTGTCTTGCATTGCACACTGTTGTAGTTAAGCCTGAATTATATTGGTTTAGCTATTTATTGCACCTTAACCTGTTTCCTGTATATGCTTAACGCTTATCCGAGTCCTGAATAAATAAATTCCCCCATATACTGAAGGCCTACTGAGGATCGATGCTAGACATTTTATGGCCCAGTGCAATCTCTGAGGGTTCTAAACTCTTCTGCCAAGTACCTCCCTACATTCTAAAAATTACACTGCCTTTAAATTTTGCTTCTGTAAATTCTGAAGCTTTTATGATACTTTAATTTTGATGCTCAGTGCTTCTCTAAACTTCAGAAATTTTGCCTTTCCTAAATTCTGCCACCAGGTGCAGTTGTACCAGAACTGGCATATATAGTCGGCTTATCTGAATAGTAAATCAGTAATTCTGAATTCAAAGAGCATTTAAATACAATCTTTTGGCCTATGAATATCATTTACAAAATATGTTTTTTGCATATAAAAAGAAATTTCTGTTAAATTTCTCCTCAATGCTTGACACATTTCACATTCAATTAGCTGAATTCTGAAATCGTAATATCAACATAAAAGGTTACCATGCTGTTTATTATTCAGTTACTAATATTTAAAAGAATATTGTTTAGACATTGCTGTATGACTTTCTCAAGCTGCTGTGTGTTAATAGTAAAATGTAATAAATAATGATTCACCAGGTTGGTGTTAGGCATGTAAATTATTAAGTGTAAAACCAACAATGTTTTGATGAAGTATGTTTTGGTTTGAGATGTATGCCAAGTAAAAAGGTGGCTATGGAGCCAAATTATTGATCATACAGATCAATGTTAATAAATTATTATTTCTTCAACATGCAACTGTTTTATATAGTGCTGAAGTGATATTAAGATTCTGAAGTCTCCACTTATTTTATTATGAAAAAATAACAAATACCAAGTGCATTGCAAAAAATGCAGCCATTCACGCAAAAATTCATTAAAAAAATAAGTTTTGGTAGTCTGGATTTTAGATCATTCCTGATATTGGATGGCTGGACTTCGGACTATGTACTCTAAAAACCTTTATGAGGCTGTCACTTCATTGTTTTGCCGTTTCTTCTATGTATGTATGAATATACGTAGTGATTAGCAGACTTAAAATAATGTAGAAAATTTGTTTTAAAATGAATAATTAATAATTTTAAAACATGATATTAATTCCCCAATGCAATCTAAAAGAGAACATATTTACAAAAAGATTATAAAAACTGATAGGGAATTTAGTAATATCAAGGCATATATAAAACTAGTGTAACAATATTATGCTATTTAAACTATTATATAATTGTAATGTCTTAATTACATGCATATACAAAAAGATATAAGCCAAAAAATATATAATTTTAAATTCTTCACATCCAATCCGCCTGACACGGCCCTACATTGAAACAACCAGAACCGCCCGAAAATGGCCGAGATTGTAATCTTGTGTTCTTCCCTTCTCCTAAGATATGCAGTAGCAGGTGCAGTTTTCCCAAATGCATTGTATCAGTTTACTGAAGGCAGCTTGTCCTAAGATGTTTCTTATCTTTTGATTGATCGTGACATTTCGTTGATTCTTTTGTGGTACAGTGTGCTTTTTAAGCTTTTTTAAAAAGCAATAAAAGAGAAGTTTAAAAATTTAAGGATTATATTTATTTTTAAACAATTTATTCCTTCCCCTGAAAATAATGGAAATAAACAAAATCTCAGTCGTGATCATAAACAAAGCCAGAAAGACTTGTTGGTCTGACCTTCAGAATAGTTTTATAAAGAACGGGCTCAAAGGCTAATGGAATCTTTGTTAGAAAATACAAAGGATGTCATTGGAAATCTTCACACCTATTTTCTGAGTTAATGGACAGGGAGGGGAGGAAGATATTGCTGTGAAACTGGAAAACTATTTCGGGCGGTTCGGTATTTTGAGGGTACAAGTTAGCGAAGGGTCTGGATTTCAGAGAGTTAATCCTAACTTACAGTTTAAATTCCATAGCTACTATTGTGAAGCTTTTCATCGAAAGGTTGTTCATTGAAGGTTGCTAAGGTTTACCGTTGAAAGAAATGGGAGAAAGTCTTAAAACTGTATACATAGATAGAAATGGCGAGAAAGGAATTCAAATGAAGCCCATTGATTGGCTGTAGACCAAGAAAATCTAACTCTTAAATGTGTGAGAGTGATAACCAAGCACTGTATTTTCTTGTTTGGCTATTACGTAAATAAATTGCTTTGGATTTAAATAGTAAATCAAAATTTAAAAAAAAATATATTTTCTCGCTGGAAGTGGAGGAAAGTGAAATTCACCCAGAATCAGTGGTATTTGTATTTGGCTCTATTAATATTGCATATGCACACTTTAGAAATTAAATGGTTTTTTATTAATAAAAGGAAAGTAGCCAGAGCTATTAATGTTAATTTACAATTAAATACAGAATCTACAAATCTTCAGAGATAACAAAGCATCTAGATTCATCCTTTGTGGATGGTTTAAGATAAGCCCATCATTGCTTACTAGCTTCAGAATTAAATTTGAAAATTAACACTCACTTTATTAAGTGAATAATTAATAAAATGAGAAGGAATTCGATTGTTGATAAGACTTCGTTTGTGTAAAAAAGAAATTTCATTTTTTAAGTAGAGTATTTCTGTACAGATATTTTTGATTCTATTAATTTGATTGATTACATTTTGCTAACAACTTTTTTGATTGATTACTGTATTGCTAACAACTTCATTTTTATGCCAATTAAATTAGTTTAATAGTAGTTAATTTAAATTCTTTTCTTTTATCAAACAGTAATTTTATTGCATTGAATAATCTGTAGATCAAGAAAGTCTAGTTCTTGTTGACTTGTATTAGTTTTATTAAGTGTTTAGCTAAAAGAGTGTGCATGAGTTTTCTCAAAAGGTCCAAAATTGTTGAAAGTGCTAATACTGCATATGTACAGTGTGAAAAAAAAAAAAAAAAAAAAAAACTGGGAAACTGGGAACAATTTTATATTCCTGTTCTACTCGGCCGATTGACGAAATTCAACTTGTGTTTTTCATGTCTCGAAAGTGCGACTTAGGATATGCATTAAATTTATATAAAGCCTTGTTCTGATACAGGTATTTTGACACAAAATCGGACTTTTTCTGTTTGCACAGGGTACACTATGCACCAAAAAAAAAAAAAGAGGAACAGTTCCATATCTCCCATTCTACTAGGCCGATTGGCAAAATTTAATTTGTATTTTTCATGCCTCAAAAGCCAAACTTAGGATGTATATTAAATTTATATATACCATTGTTCTGACATAGGTATTTTGACACAAAACTAAGGCCTTTTTCTGAGATGACTTACTGATTTTTTTCCATATTTCAATTCTACAAACTCGGCTTATGCTTAAGTATTAAATTTTGTAAAATTTGGTGAGAAACATATCAAGAAATTTAAAATTTAAAATTATTTTAAAAATTAATTATATTTAAAAATTATTATTTAAAAAAATTTAAAAATTAGCGAATTTTTGCCAAGAGTATTTAAAAAAAGGCGCATTGTTCAGTCTTTCAAATAATTTTCAAAGTGCATAAACCACATTTGGCATTATTATTACTTATAGCAAATATGCCGAATTTTAAAATGTGACACTATATAAATTTAGGTATATATTGGGAAATTTTGAATAAAAAACTATATTTTTTTCAGATATGCCTAGAAATATAACAACTTTAAGGTGATGGTAAACATTTTATAATTCAAAAATATTTTTGAAAACGTTATAAAAAATTATAAAAATTTAAAGAAATAAATGAGAAATTATCTGTGAATTTTATTTGGATTAAACCTAAATTTCATATTGTGACAGAAGGAATCAAGTAAATTTAATCCCCCCAAAAAAAGGAGGTATTTACATATAAGATATCAAAATATGAAGAAAATTTATTACCAAATTAAATTTAATTGGAATGGTTCTTTTAATTCTTAATTTTCATTACATAAATCTCCTCTTCAAGGCTCCATATCGCACCATGTTACATCATGCTTTCCCTGCAGTAATGTGGTGCAAAATCTTTTGAAACCACCCAGACAGTATAGTATAGTGTTTATGGGAGCCTACTGCAGTACCAAAGGGCCCGGGTTCGAATCCCAAGAGAAGGCATGGATGTTTGTAAATGTATAGTGTC